GAGGGGTGGAGCTAAACTTGGCAGAAACGAGTGGTGAGTTGGGGAATGCAGGGAGGCGAAGAGAAGAAAATTGAGACAGGGGCGGATCAATATAGGGAAGCAAGAAAGGGGTATAAAGAAACATGCAGGAGGAAGAAGTAGCTGAGGGAGAGGAAGGCGGACGAGATTAAACTGGTGAGACGGGAGGGGGTGTCTGGAGATGCATAAATAAGATAAGAAAGGGGAGAGAGGAAGTTAAGTTCAAAAGGTAAAATGTAATCCGGAAAATTAACTCTTTATACAAATGGGTTATCAAAATTGATACTTTCTTTCGCTACAAAATTTTAATGGATAAGTCATTAACATTTAGTCATCACTTATTGAACCGTTTATTGATCCTAAAAATGACTTTTATGTTGAATGATNCTCAGTTTTCTCAATTAATCCTCCTCAATTATAAATACATCACCTGCGTACGAATTCATCATTTAAGCGAGTTATTCAAAACTCGACGAAGCAAGGGTCTTTCTCTACGGATAAAATTGCCTAATACACCAAAAACTAAAAGGTGACTACGAGGTTGCTTCTTATTCTAGTAACACTATACACAAGTCAGGCTTTCTTTGCATTCTGGAATGCACGCCTAATGTTATACTCTTTAGAGTTATTCTCCTTACCTTTTATTAATAATCTTGTTATTACTAAATAAATAGAAACACTCACAATGTCCTTTTCTCTTCAGAGTCAATCTATTTTGTTCACACATTTATTCTGAAACACTCATTGTTTTTAATTATTACTTATAGGTCTCTTGATTCTGTAATGCATGTTGTTGATATATGTATTTAGCGTTTGATGATTTGTATGCTGCTTTTTGCCATTATTGATTTCAACGGAAATGGGAAAATCGTGAAGGTATGCTGATGATCAATTGTTACTCAACAAAATCGTTCGTAATCATCTGCCATATTGAAAATTGAGATACATAGCAACTCACAGATTTAGAATCTTGCACCTTGTAAACGACATAATCTTTAAAACCCAAAAAAACGATGATCAGAAGAATTGCATTTCATTAACATTTACAGTGTTGTTCGATCGATTCAACATATCTGGAACTATATATATTTTCATTTTCTTTACAATGCTTAATTTCAAGATCAAACAATATTGACTTAATCACCTAGCAACCCTTGAATAATCCTTTTAGCGGATTTTTTAAGTTTTAAGAATCAAACGCTCACGTTGAGTGGTTTAATAATTCGCTCAATTGCAGACAAAGTTTTACTAATATAGAAAATAACTTAATCTGTTTTGTCATCACACTGTAATGAAACAATAACCAACTCCTAAAAATCCGTATGAAGTTCAAAAGGTAAAATGTAATCCGGAAAATTAACTCTTTATACAAATGGGTTATCAAAATTGATACTTTCTTTCGCTACAAAATTTTAATGGATAAGTCATTAACATTTAGTCATCACTTATTGAACCGTTTATTGATCCTAAAAATGACTTTTATGTTGAATGATAACTGCAGCGTTTTTATTTCTTCCGCGAACAATAACATTTAGATCGTTTTTATTAAAAAAAAATTTAATGTATATTTGAAGACATTCATTTCAGTTTGGAGAAGTTGCATTAATACTTCTAAGACTTTGAACTAGTAAACTACATATCCAACTTTATTTAAACTTTTATACAGTTGTTCCTTGAATCTAATTTCGATTTAACTTCGAGATTTTCAGGGTCTTATTTGCATTTCTGAACGTTTAACAAGCAATTCCAATTCGAAATTGATTTTAAGAAATATTTATACTAGAAATAGTTTTGTGGCTAAACTAGGAGTTTATTTTAATTGGTTTAGTGTCATTGTATTGGGTGGTACAACTTATTCAATGCGGATAATAAATCATATCAATAAATAGAAACCATCATTATTATTTCCGTATTGATTTTAGTTTATTCGTTTTAGTAACGAATATAAATATATTTATTTTATTTTATAGGAAATGGTGTGGTTATTCATTTGCCCGGTTTATTTGAAGAGATAGCAAAAATCGAAGCTAAGGGCATTAAGGATTGGAAAGGTCGCTTAATGATTTCAGATCGCGCCCATTTAGTTTTCGATTTTCACCAGCAAGTCGATGGGTTACAAGAGCAGGAAAATAGCGAGAGTGGTCAAAGTTTGGGAACCACGAAACGCGGAATTGGGCCTACTTATTCATCAAAAGCAACGAGAAACGGTCTAAGAATAGGCGACCTATTAGGCGACTTTGAACAATTTTCTAAGAGGTTGGTTTTTCTTTTATGTCCTTTTAACTGTATTGGCGTATTTAATTCTTTTCTTGCCAAAAATGCATTTTAATAATAACCATAAAAGTATCTTGCCAAACTATAATCACATGCATTTTATATTATTACTTTAATAATAAGATACCAAGATTGTTTATGTTATATAATTAATTATTTTTGGTAATTATTTAGATATAAATCTTTGGTAAGTATGTACCAAAGAATGTTTCCATCATTAAACGTCGACGTTGAGTTTGAATTAAAAAAGTATAAAGATTACGCGGAACAAGTGAGACCCCTTGCCGTAGAAACAGTCTTCCTACTTGACAAATCTCTTAAAGAAGGTAAAAAAATCCTGGTTGAAGGTGCCAACGCGGCTATGCTGGACATAGATTTTGGTAATAATCATTTTAATCATTAATTAATTCTTATTAAATAAATATCTTTTTAGGCACATATCCGTACGTAACCTCATCTAATTGCAGTATTGGGGGTGTTTTAACCGGTTTAGGTTTACGACCAAGTAGTATTGGTGATGTTATTGGTGTTGTTAAAGCTTATACAACACGTGTTGGTGATGGTCCTTTTCCAACGGAACTCTTTGATGTAAATAAAGTATTATATAAGTGTCATTTATATTTAATAATAATATTTATAGGATGTTTATGAGTTATTACAAACTAAGGGTGGTGAGATTGGTGTAACTACACGCAGAAAACGACGTTGCGGGTGGTTAGATCTTGTCCTCTTGAACTACACAAACATGGTCAATGGGTACACGTCACTGTGCGTTACCAAGTTGGATATTTTAGATACACTCAAAGAAATTAAGGTTGCCGTTGCATACACACTAAATGGGAAGAAAATCGAATCGTTTCCGTCAAGTTTATCGCAATTGTCGAAAGTTGAGGTAAATATTAACCAATACGATATTTTTTATAACGGTATAAAAATAAATACTTTAATCGGAAAACAGAATTAATTATTTAGGAAAAACAATAAAAGTGAATTAAAATTATATATTATCGCAAATTTACATTATTTTAGGATGTATACATAATTTATTAAATGGAGTACTCCTGGCGGAAGAACAAGCTGTCCCTATCATTGAAATGCTTGCTTATTTGATGATGAGCAGCTTATTTGTGACAGAAACTCGTTTGAAGACAAGGAAGATTGTAACCCCCTTCACCATTTTATTATATTCTTAATTCCAAATTTTGGGGGGACAACTGATCTTAGGAGGTCGATGACGATCTCGTCATTCTTATCGTAATTATATTCACAATATATCGCATTCTCTAATAGTAAAATTAATTATGGGCACTTAAAGACGTTTTTCCATGATAAAACGACATGAGGGGATAATCTCGTGAGTAGAGGTGCAAAATGTACAATTAAACATTAAAAGTGGCGTCAACATCATGATTAATATTACATCAACATGATCTAACATTATAAAAATTCAAACAACAGTATCTTGTTATTCTATAATATTAGAAGCTCTACCTTGACGCACTACTTGTCGCTGAGAAATGTTGGAACTACTTTTCCCCTTTCTTCTTAAACTTTAAAGTGTTAGGCAACACAAGCATAATTTAAGATTATGCGAGGACTATAAAACAACTGTATAGTGCAGTAAAGTACCTATATATTTAAGATGCTTCTATGTTCAAGTATATATATCCTATGCAATATTAAAGAAATGCGTGCGAGGGGTGGAGCTAAACTTGGCAGAAACGAGTGGTGAGTTGGGGAATGCAGGGAGGCGAAGAGAAGAAAATTGAGACAGGGGCGGATCAATATAGAGAAGCAAGAAAGGGGTATAAAGAAACATGCAGGAGGAAGAAGTAGCTGAGGGAGAGGAAGGCGGACGAAATTAAACTGGTGAGACGGGAGGGGGTGTCTGGAGATGCATAAATAAGATAAGAAAGGGGAGAGAGGAAGTTACCAGTGAGTTACCCATTACGAAGTGGAAGGAGTACTTTATGGGGTTACTGGGGGGTGTAAGGAAAGGTGGGAACAAGGGGAAGATGATATAATAGAGGAGGAGGTGGAGACAGTATTGGGGGGATTGAAGAGGGGAAGGGCATCTGGAGAAGATGGGGTCCAAAACGAGGCATGAGTGGAGGCAACGGTAGAGGTGAGGGAGAGGTTGTGGATGGCGTTGAGAAAGGTATGGAAGGAAGAAGGATTTCCGAAGGGGTGGAGGGCGGCTATAATAAGTGCCTTGTACAAAAAGAGAAGGAAAGATACAGTGGAGTGTTATAGAGGTATCAGCTTACTGAATACGACGTACAAGATATACGTGAAGGTATTGCTTGCGAGGTTGGAAAAAGAGGTAGAGGACAGGGAGTTCCTGCCAGATGGTCAGGTAGGGTTTAGAAAGGGAAGGGGAGCGATAGACAATATTTATATTAGTGATGTTACGGATGTGAGTTTAGCGGATGCGGAATCGGATTTTTTAATTCTAATTTTGCGGATGCGTAAGCGGATGTTTGAATGCGGTTTTAACGGATGCAGAGTTATTGAAAAAAGTTACGTGCTAAAATGTTCATGAAAATAATATTTCTATTGTAATTAATAGTAATTAGTAAATTATGAATTGGTAATTACTAATTATTTATTGTAACGGAGCTCCGTTAAAATATATGCGGATGCTCAAAACAATGCGGATTATCCGCAGCGGATGCGAATATCCGTTACATCACTAGTTTATATATTGAAATACCTGGTGGATAGAGAACTGGATCGAAAGGGAAGGAAGCTTTATGCTCTATGTATAAATTTAAAGGCGGCGTTTGGCAGACTAAGGTCCATTACTACCATCTTTTAGTTAAATTTATCTTATAGATAAATAAACCCTTCTACTAGCCAGAGCCTTAGGCTCGTTACTACCATCTTTTGGTTAAGCTATCTAAGGGATTATTACCACGGTTACGGCTATTTTACGCGCTCTGATTGGCTAGTAGATGGATTTATCTATAAGATAAATTTAACTAAAAGATGGTAGTAATGGACCTAAGGCCCACTTTTAAAAACCTCCTGATAAATTTATCCGATAGATAAATCCAGTTTTTAGCCAATGAGAGCGCTTAAAACCGCCGTAACCATGGCAACTATCCTCTAGATAGTTTATCAGGAGGATGGTAAAAGTGGGCCTAAATAGAGAGAAGAAGGAAATATCGAGAAAAATGATAGACAGGGTGAAAGAGATTAAGGAGCAACATTAAGAGAACATTAAGGAGCAAGGGCTCTTGGAGGATGTGCAGACCAGGTACTGGAGGTGGGTGTTGGGGTTGGCTAGGGAGACTCTGGGATATATAGTAAGGGAAGAAATGAAGGTAAATAAGGTGAGTGTGGAGGCGGGTAAACAAGCGGTGTGTTTTGAGGAAAGGGTGGAAGGTAGAGGGTATTGTAAAATCTTGGGAGGTGCTACAGACAGATTGAGGAAAGTAAGGGGCATTATGGGCAGCGTAGGAATACTACAGAAGGGTAGTATCTGGACCAACAGATATTGGATGGAAGATGAGGAGGGGTTGCAGGCTGTGTGGGGAGGGCTAGCAATCTACACTATCTGCTGGTGAAGTGGAGTGAGTTGAGGGAGGAGGTGATGGATTGGAGGCAGGTGCTGGGGGAGAGGGCGGAGGGAAGGAGATTGATGGAGGAGGTGGTGGCAGCAAGGAGACGTAGGGAGACGTGGAGAGGCTGAGAGAGGCTTGAAATAAACATAACAAAATATAACGGAATATTTGAACATTGAAGGCTGCCAAATAAGGGACCGCAAAAAGTTTACATACTTACATTCAGTAAGACTCAAAATTGTGAGAGAGCACATGGAATAAACCTAGGGCGTGAAGCAGTACATGGTGGTCTAAGTGATATGGTTCCTTAGGAATTGTTGTCATAGTTTTGTGAACAATAATAGGAAATTTATACAGAAAAATTTATAATTTTATATCTTCAATAGTAATAGTATTTAAATTGGATTACGACAAAGATACATTTTAAATATTTTCAGCATATTCTTTTGGTCTTCCAGTATTACTTGGGGTGATATTTCTTGCTTTGTTGCGCTTGTTTCTTGAACGTGATGGTTAATGCTTTCTCTATCAATAACAATATTATGTAGCAAACAGATGCACTTAACAATATCATCAGCAACATCTGTAGATGTTTGTATCGCTGTTCCTAAAATTCTGCACTTGATATACAATATTTCAAAAGCACATTCTTGCACAGTTCTTCGCGCTCTTGATAATCTATTTAATCTATATCTGATTAAAGTAGTCTTTATCTGTATCAATTTGTTGTCTTCGATAAGGTTTCAATAAATTAGGGAGAAGTGGAATGGCTTCGTCACCTATGATAACATGGGGTACAGTGATGTATATTCCATGAATTTTGCAAGGTGTTGCCTTAAGTGTTTATAAAGGTGACGAAGTTCTCCAAACGTATACCGTTTGGTATTTATTATATTATAATATTAAATGAAACGTCACTTACAAAGCAGAAATTGTCGTTATTATCAACGCTCCACTTTAAACAACATATCATAGAAACAAATTTTGCGCAGCTCTTGCTCCAATATAAATACCTGCATATGACAACAATTTCCTTGTTTTGCTAGTATCGTCGCTATAATAGGATAAAATAAACGCTTGAAATAAACATAACAAAGATAGAAATATTTAGGGGTGGGAGTGGACACGGAACATTTGAATGTTGAAGGCTGCCAAATAAGGGAGTGCAAAAAGTTTACATACTTACATTCAGTAAGACTCAAAATTGTGAGAGAGGGCTCATGGAATAAACCTAGTGGTCTAAGGGAATAAAGTGATATGGCAATATGGTTCCTTAGAAATGGACGCTCTCCAATGAAGCTGCAGAATATCTAGAGTGCAACACATTACAAATAGACATTACTAGACAGAATGGTATGGGCATTTGAACAGAATGTGGGGAACACTGGTTGATAATGTATCATGTTTGATGTTTAATATACGAGAAGAAAGGGGCAAACATTTATCCTAAGCGTCAGTAAAGTTCATCAGCAAATGTTGTATCTACAAGAAAGGCTTAATACAGAAACTAAGTGAACACTTTAACTTTTCCTTCAAATGTGATTTGAATGTGACGAGGTTCGTTCATCGAAAATTGTAGAGTTTATAGGTTTAGAGCCAGAAAAAATAATACATTTTACTTTTTTTGCTATATCTATCAAAGTTTTGTAAATTTGGTAACAGTTGGCAAGATTAACAGGAAATTTTGTTATATCATTCTCAAAACAAGATGTCATATTGACGCTTAAACTTTCGATATTAAAAAAAGTAATCATTTTTCAATTTTATATTTAATAATAACTGAAATAATTCAAATAAAATAAGAAGGTTATCTTAATCTCAACTAATTACTGATTCAAAAAGTTATTAGAAATTAGAATTTTTTATCAACAGAAACCTTAAGAAATTAATTTTGCCAGGTATTATAGAAGAAAAACAAACTGTAAGTTAGTGTAAATATAGGTACTTGACGCAAAGTTGTTAATATGTAAATTCTTGAAAATCCGGATGGGATACAAATAAATCCCAAACGTTGGGATATCTATTAAACTAAGATTAGAACTAACACTAGAAACTTTCGGGTTTTGCCGTGCGTCTTTTAATAAAAGGTTTAACGTTTCGGATGCCATGTTGCAACCTTCTTCAGAAACTGGTTCGAAGTGACGAGATCAAAAAATCGGTAACTATATATAATTAATAATCAGTTAACGCTAATTACAAACTAATTAATAACTAATTGTGTCGCGTCCGGTGTGAGGCGGGAAGAGGTCTTCGTGTTCACCACCATCTTCCATGTTCTGTTAAGCTCCCAGCCATCTTCTCTGTTGACGTTATTTTTATGTCGGTGAATCTCTATGGCTTCTCTTGTCAGTCTTTGGTAGTATCTGTTGTCCCTAGCCAGCACCTTTGTTTGTTCGAAGT